TATGTTTCAAATTCCAATTCTGTTTTTGAATTGCAGTATATATTCCCAAATAAAACGTATTGCATAAATCCATCCCTATATATTTTATTTTGACTTTGATACAATTAGTGAATACGCATTATTTTCAAGTACGTATGGAATGTTCAGGAAGGCAGATCATATGCAGGTTCACAAAATAAGCCTTAATAAATTTTAATAAAACTGAAACCTTGCAGAATAAAATTAAAACAATAACATATTTACACCCATCCTCATTCTCTCTAGTCCCTATTCAACCCTTTCTTCAACTTTACATCCCCTTTAACTGCAACCTTTCCTTTCTCCATTCCTTCACATCAAAATATTTTTTATTATGAAAGTGAATACTTACTTAGAATGAGAAATCACAACACATTACAAATTGTAAAAGCTGAAAAATTATATACAAATTTAGATTTCCAGAAAAATAACTTAATTTTTAAAATAACTCAGTGCGTGATACACCTCTTTAGACAATTTTCTTCACTGTTTTTGGCTATATGCTTTTTGATAATCTTTTCATGTTGCTTTTAAAATATTGGTTTCTATAAAGTACAGAGGGAATAAAGATAATTCAAGTTTTCCTATAGCATACCTGATTAAAATTTCTTTTTGCTATTGACAATTTACAACAACTATATTCAACTTCACCATTCATTATTGGTAACCTTATGAAAACTATTAAGTTTGAAAATATTCCTATTAAGTTTCTTTTATACCCCAGCTGTAAAATTTATAACAATTCTCTTTGGACTAGCTTCAGGCTCCATGAGATTCAGAACCTGTTTTTCCTCAACTACATAAAGCCCATGGTAGATGGGACAGGACATATTCTTACCCTGATACCACTTTGGCCCCATACCATGAGGCTCCATGACCAGTGAGTTGGAGTGTTCCAGGAAACCATTCCCATACTAGGAGAGCTAGTAATAGGCTGACTATATTAAGAAGTGACTTCAAACCACATGAATACATCTCCTTAAACTCAAACAAAATATACTCCACAAGTCAACTTTCCCTTAGCTAGATTCCCTCCCCAAAAATGTCCTTAGCTGCTCCAATGCCACTTGATATGAGAAAAAATGTGATGGAGGTGAAGTCTAAATGGAAAGAAACAACAGTTATAACCATTTGAGGTTAAAACATCTTTTGTAAAGTTTTAAAATACATACAAACATGTAAATTCTTTTTTAAGGTCCTTAACAGGGTCTTTGAAGGACTTATACAAGCAAAGTCTTTGAAGCTTGAGTTTCACTAAGCTCTGGTCAGTGGAACTATGATACATTATTTTCACTAAAAACTAAGAAACAAGGAAAACTCTTCATCCAAAGACACTGTTGTTGAAATTATTGTATTTACCACACTAACCAGCATTTACTGAATGCTTGGACTTCATTAGTAACTTCTTTACATTTAATCCTTACAACATCTCTATAAGGTAAGTTCTACCATAATTCCCATTTTGCAAATGAAGAACATAAGTTATAGAAAGACTAAATCACTTTCCCAATTACACAGCTAATAAAAGGTGGACCTGCAACTGAAAGCAGGCAGCCTGGCTCCAGGGCTCACGCCTCACGCCTCTTTTCAGAACACTGAACTGCCTGCCATAGGAGCAAGTTAGTGACTGTGGCCTGGGTGTGAGTGTGACTGTGTCTTAGGAGGAGGAAGAGACGAGGAAAGGAAATGTTGATATGCTCTTAAAATTGACTTTGTTTTACCTCACTTCAGTGCTGTGGTTAGGGAGTTGATTTTAGGTAGCATAAAAGTCAGTTAGTTCTCACTAGTATCCCATCTCCAAAGAAAAAAAAAAAAAAGTCAGTTAGTAAGAATCAAAGGCAAAATTGAATCAGCTAAGATTTAAAAGCCTTAAACTCCCATTTCGGGACTTTTATGATCAACTTATCAAAAGTATCGCAACACATTCCTTGGAAGACATTTCTTCCTTTCATTTCCTCACCTAACATTGAATCCTCAAACCACTGAAAAATAGATTTATTTCAGAGTGCTCTAGCAAAACTAGTCTTGCCAAGTGACCCACTTCTTGATTATTAGATCAAACAGATACTTTTCAGACCCTAGACTGAGCATCTAACAGCAACATATACTTTGCGTAGTAGTAAAGACTGCTCAGCCACTTACTAGCTATTTGACCTTGGATGAATTTAAAGTTAACCTATATCTACTGTCCAGCTATAAAATGAGATTACCTATTTATAGAGTACCTAGGATTAAAAGCGATAACATATATAAAACACTTAGCAGAATGCCTACTAGATAGAATTTATAGCAATTACTGACCTTAGTCACTCCTTGAAACTTGCCTTCCTAAGCATATAAGACACCACTCTCTCCTGGTTTTCCTCCTACTTCTGTAGACCATCTCAGTCTCTTATTCATACTACTTTCTTTCGCTCACTCCTTCAACACAATTCTCTTCTCTTCTCATTCTATACTTTGGCTCAAACCTCTCTAAGTAGGAGACCCTTTGAGATCCAAATCTCCAAATCCATTTGCTTCCTGGACATTAACACTTAGATACTTCCAAAGACCTCTCAAACACATCCAAAATTGAAGTCATCATTATTTTACCTAAACGTGTCTCCTATCGCCTTCCCCAGGTTGGCTAGGAATTAGAAACAGAAGTTTCCTGACTATCTCTTTGCCCCACTAGTCTAATTGTTCTCTAAGACCTGTTGATTTTGCTTCTTTATCCTATCAAGTCTGAAGCAAATCATCTAGATTCAAATTCCTGCTCTACCACTTACTAGCTATATGATCTCAGACAAGTTACTTAACTTTCCTGAAATACAGTACCCTCGTCTTCAGATAAGTAATAATAGTACTTAAGTCATAGGTCTTTGTGATGATTAAAGAAGTTAATATATGTAAACACTTAAAACACTACCTAACATATGGAAAGAGCTCAATAAATGTTATCTCTTCCTATTATTATCATTTTATTATTGTTTTGTTTGTTTGTTTTTTCTATCTACCTCCTTCTCATCATCCCCTCTGCCACTGGTTTTGATCAGTATCACACTTAGATTACTAAAACTGCCTCTTAACTAAGTATTCTTCCTTGAATCTTGCCCTTTCCAATATATTCTTTATCCAGAGGGCAAATAGTTTGGACTCAAAGTGAATCCTGTCTTTCTCCTGCTAAAATCTGCTAAGGGCTTCCCAATGCTTTTAGGGTAACATCCAAATTATTCAACATGTACATAAGGACTGCTTTTACCCAAAAGGAAAATACAATACAATCTGTCATCCTATAAATTCCAGCTTGACTTGCCTGATCTAATGGGTCAGAACCAAAAGGTCTCATGCTCATGTATCACAATGCTAATACCACACTTATTAATTAGAGATTAGGTAATCAGTCAAACCTCCAAAAAACCTTTAGTACAGGGACTATATTTATTCATCTTTTACTTTGGAAACTTATTCCAGTATATCACAGAATAATTCAAGAAATGTTTGCTAAATAAATTCTGATCATTAAAAATAATTTATCATTGAAATACTGTCTCAAATGTTTGGCAAAGATAAAAACCACTCCTAAAACAGCTCTCATAAAGAAACTCAATGCAAAATTCTGCATTTCTTTTAGAAGGAAAAAACATTCTGAGTTATGAAAATTCTTACCTGGATATATTTCTTGCTATAATCACAACCTGGCTGTAGGGATCTGAAATCCACTCTCTGTAATTTACTCAGTGGCTGAACTTCAGGCACTCCATTGACTTCCCTTATCAATTCAAGTGGCATATCAGTTCTGATCACAACGACTGTCCAAAGCAAATTTGAATAGGGAAGTTGACAGCTTGCTGCTGAAAACACAAGACCAGTGTTTTACCCAAAATGCAGTCAATAATTTGCTCTAAGCCTCTTTGATTTACTTTTGCTTTTCCTTTCCTTTAAATTAGTTACCATGGTTGGGGAGGCTGGGACAGGAGGATAGATTACATTTTATTACAAGGATCAATACCCAGCATTCTTGTAAGGAACTGAAACTTAATTCTTTTCTACTTGGCTTTTGTATTTAAAGTACCTCTGAAAGCCAGTTTTAAGATCTGTGAAAACTTCATTAATAAATGCTTTTACCACCTTGCTTTAAAATGCAAAAGCTATTGGGGAAGGGGAGTGACTGAAAAGCTTTGTTTTTGTTTTTTAAACCCCTTGACAGTTGTAATATTGTGTAAGTAAATTATGCACAAAAAGCTTGTCACAATATTATCTGTGGCCTCCTCCCTTCACCCCCTAAATAACCGAAAGAAACAATTATTAAACAGAAGTTAACTTGTGCACTGTAAGTTCAGTCTTATTCCTCAAACCTCTAGACTGGGACAGTCACTACTGTCAATATTTACTTTTCATGAATACGCACCAACCTTCCCCAAGCCACTTGAGCTTCTTAAGGGCAGGGACCTCTGCCTCTCCCAAAATGCCAGGCAAGATGCTAAACACAGCAGGCTCAAGATAACACGTAAGTAAGGTTTCTCTGCGATAATTACACCAAATTTTGATCTAAACTAAATCAACCCCTTTAGAATACCAAATCCGGTCCCGACCCTGCCTGTACCCACGCAACGAACTCCAAACTTATTTTTTAGAAATTCACTCACCCACACTGCAGAAGGAAACCTGTGAAGAATTTATGTGGGCGCGCTCATGACGTCACACGCACACTGACGGCCCAGCTCCCACTCATGTGTACAGCGTCACTAGCACTAAACAACCGTTCCTTCCCGCGCCCGGGGAGGGCAAACTGCGTAATAGTTCCCAGGCCTAAGGCGCCCTGGAGGTTTCCACAAACATGTAGAGAATGCGGCTTTAGGGGTAATGTAGGCTCTCCGTACAGGCCCCGCCCAGTCCGGTCGCATCTCCCAGAATTCTTGCCGCTCCCACTAACTCCGCCCCTCCGTCAATTTCCCGCGTTAGTGGCTGGAGGCGCCTTGACTGGGAAGCGGGGCCAATGTGCAGCGCGGGATTTGCGATTTGGTTTCATAGACTGGAAGTCCCAGTGGGCAGCGCCCTTCTTTAACTTCCAGTTCTCTTTCCTCCAGAAGTAAGCACCCAAATGCAGGTTTTACAAAGAAATAGTACAAAGATAACAATGTTATTTGATAGTTTGTATAGCAATTTGGGGGCACTGGCATCATTCCTCCAATGGGTTATGCTATTTACAGGCAGATTTGGTTTACCTTGTCATTGGTTTCTAGGGCTATGCCTTGTGTTATAATTAATAAGATTTATTGTTAAATGTGAATCCTTTGCAAATTTCTGACGTATGCCTTCAGTCATTTAAGTGAAACCACCTCAGTGTGAGACTGTAAGGTAAGAAAGAATTACACAAATATTTCCAAGGCTAATTTGGACTAGAGTATCTGCTTTAGATAAAATATTTGCAGGAAGAAATAGCTAACTATTTTTAAAGCACCTATTCTTTCAACAGGAAGCATTATCTTTCCCTTCCCTACCGCTGTTATATACCATGCATGAGCCCGGGTGACCAGTGAATAAGCTCAGGAGCTGTCCATTTGAGGAAAACTATGATAAGTAAGTGTCACTGTCCTTTTCGTGTATGAACTCTGAGGTGTTGCCCCAGTTCTTGGGCTCTGGGCTTAGAAAAATCTCAACCCTTGTCCCGCATGAAGGAGAGATGTAACAAACACTCCACAAATATGCGTGAAGAATGTATTACGAGTAAAGTTTAAGGGTGCAAAACTAAAGACATTTTCTAAGGGGAAACAGGTCTGTCTCTGTGAGTGGAGAAGACACTGTCTACTTCTGTGTTTTCCCTTTTATATGCTGGTAGTTTAGGTAAAGGTTAATTATAATTATTCATAACTATATCTCACTGTTTGGGGGACTGAATTCTTTCCAGGTATGGACATAACTTAAAGGTTATGTTTCAGTCATTCTTTATAATATACGTATGGTGGGGAAAATGCCATTACCTATTCATGGTGTTTTTTCTATTCTCTGACTGGTGGTCAGTGTTCCATGGCCTAATTACCCCATTATTTAAGACTGAAATAACTGTTCCCTCTTTTTATTTTTCTGTAACCATTTCCTCCTTATTGTTTTTCTGTAACTTCTTTCTCCTTTTTCTTTTACTGATTACCATTATTGCTTACTTGTTTTTCTGTCCCTAACATAAGGTTCAGACTCTGTTGTCATTTCTTCTCTGGCATCACCCAGCTATGAAATAACTGTTCCTAGTCCCTAAGTGAAGCCCTCCACATGAGCTTTGGATTCTGACCATTTTCATCTCCCCTTGTCGTCAGTAATATTAATATATCTTCTCTCAATGTATTTTCAACTTTCCATCCTCATTCATTCTTTCCTATCAGCATTTAAACACATTCTTCCGGTAGTGGAAGCTTTTTAAGGACAGGGAGAATTGCTTACTAAATAAAGGCTCTGCAGTGTCTGACAAATTGTGGGTGATAAGTATTTGTTGCATTAACAAATAAATGCTAAGGAAAACTGTTTCTCTTTTTTTGCCTCTGATTTCCATTCCATCTCACACTGTTATACTAAAACTGCTCTTGACAAAAACATTGAAGACTAACCTCTTTGTTGCTAAGCCAAAAGGACATTTTTAGTCTTATCTTTGTAAGAGCATTTTCATTTTGCTACAAATAGTTGTAGTTTTCCTCTTACCTTTTAATCAATTGAATATTTTAAAACTGTTCCTCATCATCTGTTTAGCCTACAAATGTCTGTATTCTGTAGGATGTGATGAAGATATCTAACAGAAGTATACATTAACTCCTTTTTTTGTTGTGGTGGTTATAGTGGTTGTTCTCAATTTCTCTAAGACGTAAACACTTCCTACACATCCTAGTAACTTCCAGTCTTGTTTCTTTTTCATAATCTCCCAATTAGTGGCAGAGCTGGGATGCATCTGGCTCCAGAGCCTATCTACTTTTCCTCACATTAGCAATTAGTTTCTATAAATGTTTCTAAAACAGTACAAATTAAGATAATAAGAGAGGGGAAAAAAAGAGAGATTGAATCAACTGGATAAGGCACTAAGGACATTACTGCCAAAACAATCTATTACTGTTTTTCTATGCCTGTTGAAGCAGCACTGAAAAGCTAACAATTAATGTAATAATTATTACACATTATAATTTTTAAAGGTACAGTGAAAAGTTTTTATATAAAGTCTACAATGTAAAAATATTCAAAATTGAACAATGTTAAGAACTTCTTAAGTAAAGCTAAAATGAGATTCTCACTAATAAGTAATGAGCACCAAAAGTGGAAAGAGCACTTTTTTATCTGATGCATAAATAAAAAGATCCAGTGCAGTTATTGTAAGTAATAAAGGTGAAAGAAAATAATCTGCAAATTGCTGGCACTTTTTCCCTCTCATTACTGTTCTCAAATTGTCCTTTACTATTTACTTTTTAATGTCTAAATGTTGATTTGAATTGCCTAATTGTCTAACACTTCAAATTCATTTCCTTTACATTAAGTGTGGGGTCATTAACCTATTGGTATTTTCTATCTATCTATCTTGCAAGATGTTGTCATCATGTTGTATCCCTACAGCCTGACAATATCATCTCCTACTTAATCATGAGATTTTTTAGCAATAATAACTAGGATATATATTGATTGGAGTTCATTTTATTATATCTAACATCATTTCTGCCCAATCCTAATGAACATCTAGATTGATTTATCAAATCCTATTTCAATAAAGCATCAAATTTTTATAATGATATATAGTTGAACCAGGAGATAATCTAAACAAATGTATATCAAAATTTATGTTTAAATTATAAATTTAAATGATAAAGCATGTTAGGAAGACAATAAAGATATTTTTGAAATATAACATTGTGTACCACAAATTGAGAAAAACAGGTGTCTGTTGAAGAGTTCCCCCTAAAACGTTTGTATTTTAATAGTAATTTTTAAATTTACATGCATAACTTCCAGTTCCCTTCAAATCCTACTCTTTTTAAAAATTGTCTTTGTTGTTTAAGAAAAAACCCTATATTCAAATTTTAATTATAGACTGTAAATAGATAAATATTTTATAGTGTATTGATTCATATAAGTAAATTATAAATTAGTGCTTTCTCTTCTTCAAAGACTATAAGAAATATATAACCTTCCCAAAATAACTGTTTTTTTATATGTAACATTTTCTTAATGTTTTTTGTTGTTGTTGTTTTAAAAAAGGGCATTATGTAACTTAGTGAATATTACGAGAACATTTACCAAGTGCCTGGGATTGATCAGGACTCTGGAGCATTAAGTTGTGCACAATCAGGCATGTCTCCAGACCACTTGGAGCTTGCAGTGGAGACAGAATTTTTTATAAATTCAGAGAAATCAATGCAAAATTTTGATTATGGTTCAAGATATAAAGGACAGTTCATGGTACCAGGAAAATATAAAATGGGAGAAACTGACCTAGATAGAAAAGTCATAGCAAGCCTTCCTGAGGAAGTAAGAATTAAGCAGAAATAATAATATAGCAATACATTTCCTTTATAGCAATAAAGGAAAACTCATTGTCTAAAGTAAATGTCAGTCCTGTTATAACATATAGCTTCAAGCATAAAATACTCTGGACTAGTCAATACATTTTTAGTCTTCCTTTCTGAACCCTGTATTCAGCCTTTATTTTGATTATCAGGTCAAACTCATTGCTTCTTTTGCTATCTCTGGGCTGTAGACTGCCACAAATATAATTTTATGTGATTATGCTCAGATATTATATGTGACGATATGAGAATATACTCAGATTGAGACTCTGGTGAGACTGGCTCACATTAAACAAACATTGATATAAAAAAACCCTGATAATACAAATAAATTTCAACCAGAATTTTTAATTAACCATGTTTACAGAATAGGGTGTTATTTTAATATGAGTACTTATCAGAAGGCAAATTATTAATATAAACACTTGGTTGTTGGGAAAGCATAATATTTAAGCAAAGAAAGTTTATTTGATGGTCCTACATTTTAACATAATCAAATCATGTCAGTTTGATGTAACAGTCTATCATAGAAATATATGTGGATGCTTAATATGTGTGGTCCAGGGCACCATCTTCCCTTAATGTCTGCCTCTTAGGTGGTCTCTTTTCTAGGCACTTAGTCAATCTCAACCTTCTTCAGATGCTTTCTGTTTTCTTTCTGTGCCTTGATTTGAATTATGAATAGAAATAGATTACAGCTATGGTCCTATAATATTTACAAATATTTGACTGTGACATGTTCCTATCCTTAGCTTTCTAACAATTTGTAAAATTCAAGCCTCCTTGTATAATCATTGGAATATCTCTAGTGATTCTGAAAAGACAAGGATCTCTCTTTTTAAATATCTTCTCATCTAAGGCATATGATTTAATTTTTCTAGATATATGTCCACTTCTTTTTAAGCACAAAGTCTTCAAGGCGTGTTAGTGAATTAGCTGCCCTGCCGCTAAAATTCAAGCTGCATGAACTCAGAACTCAGAGTTGGCTGATTTTCTGAGAACAATTAAAAGTTCAAGGCTCATCTAGTGCTATAACAAGAATGAACACTTTCTTCTTCTAGTTCCCTTTCTCCCAGATGAGAGGATACTTATAAGAATTTATGCATTTTGTTGGGGTAAAAAACATTTATCTGAAACTTAACCATCCTTTCAGTTTTACTTCAATGGTTTTCTCCTCTGGATAATTCAAATAAAATTTAATATTTAATACTTTTACTTTAAAATAACATTTATATATTATGATTTCTTTATTTTAAAATTAATCCTATCTACCTACCCAGGTAGCTTCATTTCTAATTCGATTTATTTGTACAGAGGTGTCTGAAATAATATTCGTAAAATATTAACACTGGTTATTGTTAAGTGTAGGAATTGGATGACTAGCTGCTTTCTTTTTTGTTTATTAAAAAATTATTTTTACTTTTTTTATTATTTAGCAACATAACTAAAAACAACTTAACCAAAATATTTTTTTGAAGGCCTCAAGTGTATTTAAGCAACTTTTAGTGCTAAAATTATCTGATGACCATTTTGGGTGCTTATGCAGCTCATACTCTACTTCTCTAAAAACTGCCTTCCCCACACAAAAAAGTCTAACCATGCAGCCACGCTGGTATTACATACTTGATGCTTGTTCCACCCTCACTATCGGCTGGGTGAGGGTCATCGCTTGATCACTTGACTCAAGGTCAGCCAATCTCTTGCCTGTGCGGAGCCAATCAGGCTCTCTCACTTAGGAAGATGGGATTAGCATTTGTGTACAAGTTAATTGGCCTTGACACTTGAGTTACAAGGGCAAATAGGAGGCTAGTGTGGCCACTGTCCACAAGAGCATGAAAGTGAGAGAAAAACAAACTGCAAAGAAAGATGAAGCATGAATCAGATGCATACAAAGAAATAAAAACAGCCATCATGCAATGCCAGAGAAAAAGACAGAGTAGTTTACTGAGTTCTTAATATCTTTGAAATAGTTATTCATAAGGAGCTAAATGTCCTACTCGTAGGGTCCATGTGATACTTTTGAATTCCACCAGTATTTATTAGTGT